GCGATTCGTAACGAAGGCAACGTCGAGATTCGCGTCGCCCCGTATCCCATCGCCTACCGCGCGATCACGCCGAAAAAGTCGGAATGTACAAACCTGTTGGTGCCGGTCGCGTTGTCCTCCAGCCATATCGCGTTCGGCTCGATCCGAATGGAACCGGTCTTTATGATCTTGGGACAAAGCGCGGCAACTGCGGCATCGCAAGCGATTGATGACGAAGTCATCGTCCAAGAGGTCGACTACGCGAAGCTTTCCCAGCGGCTGAAAGCGGATGGGCAGATCATCAAGTATGAAGGGACCCGCGGCAAACCGGCGATGGCCATTTCGCCTAAGAAAATTGACGGTATCGTTGTCGACGACCGCGATGCCAAGTTCGTGGGAGCCTGGGAAGAGTCGGCCCACATTCGTCCGTTCATTGGACGTGGCTATCATCACGATGGCAATCAGGCCAAAGGCAAAAGCAGCGTCTCGTTCGCGACGAAGCTGAAACCAGGCAAGTACGATGTTCGCCTGGCATATTCGGCCAACAGCAATCGTGCCAGCAATCTTCCGGTCGCCATTCATTCGGCCGAAGGGAAAAAACAAGTCACCATCGATCAACGTAAGCAGCCCAACGTCGACGACTTGTTCGTCTCGTTGGGACAATTTACGTTCGACGAATCGGCCGAAGTGGTCGTCAGTAACGACGGCACCGACGGTCATGTGATCGTCGATGCCGTGGTTTTCGTCCCGGTGAAGTAACGACCGGATTGGTTACGAAGAACGCAGCGCGCCCAGGATGTCGACCTGGGCTGCTTGAATGGCGGGCCAAAGCCCTGCCGCAATTCCGGTGACCACGGCGACGCCCAGCGACACAACGATTAGCCGCAACGACGGCAAAAACGCCACGCTCACCGCTTCGGCGGAAACCGATAGGCTGCTTCCTTCCAGCGTGATCACGGCGAGCACAATTCCAAGTGCTCCGCCCAGAACGCTCAGTACCACGCTTTCCGAAAGCACTAACGCAAAGACGGTTCTGCCGGTAAACCCGAGCGTTTGCAGCACCGCGTGTTCTTTGATGCGGTCCTGCACCGACATCACCGTGGTGGTCGAAACGAGTGCGAGCACGATCGCCACGCAGGCATAGCCCAAGTACTTCGACATCTCGACCAACTGCGTCAAGTCGCCGAGACTCTTGGCTTGGAACACACCTTTGGGGCGTGTATCGGTTTCGACCGAACCGCCGCGGAACTTTTCGTCGATCATCTCGCACAATGCCAACTGATCGGTCCCCGGCTGAAGAAGCACCTCGTGCTGGGTGACCGTGCCGACAAGATTCATGCCTTTGCCACGCTGCAAGAATTCGAGGTGCGAATAAATGTAATTCTCTTCGGCAGGGTCGGAAGAAGTAAACACTCCGGCGACTTGCACCGTCAAATCACCGATTGAGAACTTATCGCCGACACCAATGCCTCTGCGCGAAGCCACCGAGCTTCCGACGATGGCGGCGTCTTGATGGGTTTCAAATTCGTCCCAGCTGCCGGACATCAATTGAAAGTCGCGTGCTTTGCGAACCTTTGCAGGAGGCAGCCCATAGAACACGATCACGTCTAGGCTCGCACGGCAATTGTTGGTGAAGACCTGGATCGGGATCACCTCGGCAACGCCAGGCATCTTTTCGATTTGCTGCTGGTAGTCTTGCGGCAGGTGGCTGGAAGCGGGGCAAAACTTGTTTGCTTGAAACACGATCAGCGAACCCTTAGCCGCTTGCCGCGACTGAAGATCGGCCATTCCTTCCTGTACTGCACCGACGAAGCAGAAGACATACAGCGCGATCGCGGCCCCAATGCATGTCAGTGCTGTTCGTGAGCGATGTCGCCATAACGTCTTGAGCACCAGCGGTATGAACTTAAACATGAGCCACCTCCGCGTCGGTTGTTTCGATCAGCTTCCCACGGTCGAGTTGAAACTGCCGGTGAGCGACTTTCGCGGCAGCGTGATCATGCGTCACCATCAACAGTGTCACGCCGAGCTCGCGATTGAGCCGACCTAGCAAGTGTAAAATCTGCTGTGAAGTCTCCGGGTCGAGGTCGCCGGTCGGTTCGTCCGCCACGACCACTTGCGGATGGTTCACAATCGCCCTCGCAATGCCGACACGCTGTTCCTGTCCTCCTGACATTTGTCGCGGGTAGTGCCCTGCCCTGTCGATCAGGTCGACCGCCTCTAACGCAATTTGAACACGCTGGCGTCGTTCGGCTCTTGACATTGGTAACAGCAGCAGAGGTAACTCGATGTTCTCGTACGCTGTCAGGACCGGCACCAGGTTATGCGTTTGAAAAACGTAACCTAAGTTGGCTGCCCGCCACTTGGCCAGCTTCGTGCGCGAAAGCTTCGTCAGCTCGGTTCCATCGACGACAATGCTCCCGGAATCTGGCCGGTCGATCGTCGCGATCAAGTTCAGCAGCGTGCTTTTGC